GGTAGGCTCACTTGGTCGAGTACTACCGGTTTTTGATTTCTAACGATTTGCTTGCGCAACTTGCAGGGTTAAACCAAAAGGTTTTACAAAGACCTATTTCTGACCACTTTCCTATTTGCATTATCCTGGATGGTATCATTTGGGGTCTGGGACCATTTAGGTTGGATAACAAATGGGTGAAGATGGAGGGTTTTAGGAAGTTGGTGGAGGATGTGTGGAGACTGAAGAACGAAAGAGGTATGACCAGCTTTATGCTTGCTTCCAAATTGAAGCGGTTGAAGTTAGAGATTAAAAAATGGGCTAAGGAGGAGGATGGCAGATCCGATAGAATACTTAATGACAATTTAGAGGAGCTACGTAAGTTGGAACATTTGGAGATGGATGGGCTGTTAAGGGAAGGGGGAAGGGGGAGGAGAGGGGAATTAAAATTGGAAATTGCCGCCAAGATGAACTTGGAGGCAATTTCATGGAGGCAAAAGACCAGAGAGAGGTGGATTAAGGAGGTTGATAGAAATACAAGATATCTTCAAAGTTTGGCAAATTCTAGGAGGAAGAACAACTATGTTGAAGAGCTGGAGTTTGGCGGGGATACTGTTAGAGGTAATGCTGTATTGAGGGAGAAAGTTAAGGATTATTTTACTAAGCTTTATACAGAAGAGGAGGAGAGGAGACCGAGACAGGATGAGCTTCCTTTTAGACAACTATCGGCTGGTAGCAAGGAGAGCCTGGAGGTGCTATTTACGGAGGAGGAAATTCTGGATTGTTTGAGGCAATGCAATGGCAACAAAACTCTGAGACCGGATGGATTCCATATGAAGTTTTTAAAGGATTTTTGGGCTGTCATTAAAAATGATATCATGACTGTTTTTCATGACTTTCATAGAGCTGGGGTTTTTATCCAATTTATTAACCCAACTTTCTTAGTATTATTCCAAAGATTATTGGAGCTCGGAACATAAAAGATTTCAGACCGATTAGCCTGATGGGTAATATTTATAAATTGATCTCTAAAAGTCCGGGACCGGACGAATTCCATATGAAGTTTTTTCAGGATTTTTGGGCTGTCATTAAAAATGATATCATGGCTGTTTTTCATGACTTTCACAGAACTGGGGTTTTTGTCTTTTTTTTTAACACAACTTTCTTATTTATTATTCCAAAGATTGTTGGAACTCGTAACATAAAAGATTTCAGATCGATTAGCCTGGTGGGTAATATTTATAAATTGATCTCTAAAGTTCTGGCTAAAAGAATGTCTAGGATTTTGGGCGAGATTATTGGGGGAACCAAAATGCATTTGTGGAAGGAAGAGAAATCCTTGATACTGTTATGGTTGCTAATGAGGTAGTTGATGATATGATGGGGCACAAAAAAAAAGGTATCATCTGTAAAATTGATATGGAGAAGGTTTATGATCATGTTTGTCGGGATTTTGTTATTTATATGCTTGAGAGGATGAGTTTTGGTTGTAAATGGAGGAAATGGATAAAAAATTGTATCTCTACGGTCGTTCTTTTGCTGTGAGAGTGAACGGTGGTCCTTCGTCTTTCTTCAGAGTGTCGAGGGGCCTTCACCAAGGGGATCCACTGTCACCCCTTCTTTATCTTTCTATTATGGAA